AATTTATGAAAGCTATTTTCTTCAAGTCACATGAGAACGTTTGGGTGTTCCTGTGATCTAAGCATCCTGATTCTATAACTACGCCAAGTAATGCACTGGCGAGGAACTACCTTATTCAAACGTGAGCCGTCTGATTCCAGAGTCTATACTAGCACAATAAAAGGTGACATACTAGCACAATAAAACCATACTAACAGTCTTATGCGTAACTACAAAATAAAAGACAGACATGCTTGGTTAGAAAGTCCACAAATCTCAGCCTGGTCATCCCCAGTGCAGACATAATGTCTGGCTCGGACTACACCCTGTTAATCTATGATGTAGATCTCCAGCAAGGAAAAGATTTCAAGGTAAGCACAGGAGGCTACCTTAGAAAGTGAAGAGACCTCACCAGTATATATCACTATGATCTCCAGCGACCACATCCATCTAGCAGCCTGGCCTTACTGTGAGTCCCCAATGAACATGAGGTTTCTCTGTATTTTATCTTTTTCTTTCTTTCTTTCTTTCTTTCTTTTTTGATAACAGTTCTAGAAGAAAGGGCTTTAACTAGACTCGCCATGCTTACAGACAAGGAAACAAACACAAAAGCTTCTAAGCCATCCTGGAAATCACCTACGAGAGAAACTGTAAACAAAGCTCAGCCTCGGGAAGGTAACCAGTACCATGGAACTAGCTGCTAAAAAATGGTTCCAAGAGCTGGGCTATACCTGTGCCAGTGGAATGCTTCCTAGCATACTTGACATCCTGGGATCGATCCCCAGCCCTGCAGAGAGACTGGGTGGGCATGGTGGTCTGTGACTATAGAATCAGAAGTTCAGAGTCACCCTGACCACACAGCCCCAAGATATATCTAAGACCCTGGTTTTTTTTTTTTTGTTGTTGTTGTTGTTGTTGATTTTGTCTCTAATAATAAGTTGTATGAAATGTGCATTTTACCATCAAAACAATTAGAATAATGAAAGTTTTTTTTTAAAAAAAGACAAGTCATTCTTATTTGTTATGCCTGTATCAATTGGCTTACACATGGCCTCAGATATTCTGAGAAAGGGAAAGACACCATTTATACCTTACGTCCAACTTGCCCCTTCACAGTGGGCTTATTCATCCAATGTTTATCTATAGCCATCTACCTTGCAGCCAGTGTGGCCCTGAACTGGATGTGTGGTGCTCAGACCCAGCTAGGAAATAGCTGCTGCTCGTGACACCCGACCTTTCCCCACTGGACATTCTAGTGTCTTCCGTGTGGTCACCTCCCACCCTAGACCTACCCGTGATTCAGCACAGCAGGAAGCTTCTAGGACTCTGCCTCAGCCTTGTGGCCAGCTTCCAACTCAACTAGCAAATGCCTGGACCTAACCCCTCGTTAAATATTTTATCATCCTCCAGACAGGGCAATGAACAAAACAGATAAGGTCCCTACCCTTTGGTCTGGGAAAGAGATAATAAGGAGGCAATCGCATGAGCACATGAGTAACTTCAAAGACTGGGTGCTACCAGGAAAATAAAAATAGCAAAGAACTAGGAGGTGAACAGGGTTGGGGAGCAGGGCAGAGTTTGAGAAAAAGCTCCAAGACAGTAACTTTGGGGGAAAAAAAAAAAAAACAAGTATGCAAAGGTCAGAAGTAAGAATATTCTAGATAAAAGGCTGGGCGTGGTGGCGCACGCCTTTAATCCCAGCACTCGAGAGGCAGAGGCAGGTGGATCTCTATGAGTTCAAGGCCAGCCTGGTCTACAGAGCGAGTTCCAGGATAGGCTCCAAAGCTACACAGAGAAACCCTGTCTCGAAAAACCAAAAAAAAAAAAAAAAAAAAGTTCTAAATAGAGGCTTCAGGTGAGAGAAGGTGTGTGGTATTCAGTTAGAAGGCCAGCATGACGGGAGGACAATGGGCATGGAGGTCATGATGCCACACAGGTGCCAATCAAAAAGGAATAGATGCCAAGAACAGTCAGCCATCAGATTAAAACCAGGGTCATGGTGTGATCTCACTTGCATTTTTTAAAGACCACCCTGACAATTACATGGAAAGTAAGTTCAAAGGGAAACAAGAATACGAAAAGGAATGCAGGAAGAAATGCTCGAAGCTACGGGAGTAATCAAGGAAACAGATGGCAGTGTCTTGGCCTAGGTAACAGCAGTAAATGGAAAGTTGCATTCTGGTTCAATATGCATTTTAAGAGTTCGAGGCAGTCACACTTCTGATTAAGTCTGTAATGTGGGGTGAGGGGACTGAGGAAGAGAAGTGACAACTAACTTTTGATCTGGCTCATCAATAGTAAGAGTTAACTTTTCTGAAACAGGGGTGGTTAGTGGGGAAATGAGTCAGTTTGGGATAGACAGGGGAAGGGTATGCTTTGTTACAATAAATTTGTGATAATTTAGATATATAATGTGGTGCTTTCCAACAGACAGTTGGATGTTTGACCTTCATAATAATTCTGCACAATAAGCAGGGAAGCCCTGCTATTATCCAAATCTTATCAATGAGAAAATGAGAGCTCAGAGAGGACCTGTCTCAAGGCGTGAGTCAACGCCACTGCAACGATGGCTGGCGGCACATTTAAAGAGACTCGTCTTCACTCTTCGGGTCATCGCTCTGATAAAACACATATACCTGCTTTGTCTCATGGATTACATGGCTGCTCCCAAGTTAGAGGCCTGTTCACAGCCAGAGAAGATTCCCTCATAAGAATGAGACTTCCCCTCCTAGCAACACTAATAAAATTAACTGATACGTAGAACTCCTATTACTATCTTATAAGAATTGTGTCAACAATTAAGTGCATACAGATACATGAAGCAAAGGCATAAATCTCTCTTAAGAAACAACCACAATTCTGAAGGTCATTTTTATATAACAGTTTTTTGGTTTTGGTTTTTGTTTTTTTAATCTTTCTAAGGAGCACATTTACAAAATCAGAAAGGTCAGCTGGGAAATGGCCAAGACAAGAAAAATCACTTTACACTCAGGACTGTGACTAGGTGTAAGACAAGCTCACGCTGTGCTCAGCACTTCTCCCACCAGGCCAGACCTGCTCTTTCTCCTAGGGTCGCTTTAAAGTGACAGAAACGCCTCCATTTGTTTATCTCAGGCTACATTCTCCTGAGCTCAATGCAGGTGTAATAGCTAGACGTCAGTTCAAAATTCTAGCGGTAGCTGGTGAAAGCCCACTCTAAACAAAGCTGGATGACAGGTGGGAAGGTAAGAGGAAGGAAGTGGGGAGGGGGGAGAGGAGGGAGGGAGGGAGGGAGGGAGGGAGAAAGGGAGAGAGAGAAATATGCAAATGGATACCTGACAGAGGTCTTTTATGACAAAGGACCTAAGAATAACATGCTCACAAAACATCACAGCCCCATAGGAAAGACATGCTTGGTTCATGGCTTGAGTCGAGAGATCAGTACAGCCTTTCCATATTTAATCATGCTGTCAATCAAGGGAGTGTCAATTATCAGTGTAAGGTTAAAAAAAAAAATAGCGTGCCTGCTTAACTCAGCAACTAGCATTTCACCAACCCTTCCCACCAAGAGCTGGCTTTTCATGTATGCTCTTAAGATAAAAAAAACAATAGCCTGACTGGCACCACAAATCATTCTCGTATCCTAAGGAGACTTGGAAGGAAATTTAGGAGTCATGGTAGCCAACCCACCCATTTTACAGACAAGGAGAAAAAATAAAGCGGAGAGAGAGAAGGTGACCTGACCCCTTCAGCACAGAACCCCTTCAGGACAAAAAAGCCATCTTTTATTGATTCTTAGCCTCTGCTCCTCATACTTTCCCGTGCTGTCTATAGAAGAAGAAGAAGGAAAGGGGCCACCAGGGGTGACCCCGCAGTTTACAAAAGAAGTGAAAAGAACTAGGGACTCAAGTCCCGGAAGCAAGCCCCAGGCTTACACGTGACTATCAGCTTGTCCTCTTCCCTGCCGGCAGTGCCACTGGCCCCTCCCCCTGCAACTTGGACTTGCTGTGACAGAGCACGGCGCCTTCCCTCGAGGTCTGCAAATGAGGCCTGGAAAGCTCACACAGAGGCAAGATTCAGGCTTCAGAGACACACCGGTCTTTCCTGGGGATGAGCGGAAATGCCAGCATCCTCCCTTGCCTGTGAACCAGCATATTCGTCCGTGGGCATCACATACAGCCCTGAGGAGCTAGTCCAGGGTAGAGGTACATTTTAGCCCTGGTGACTTCTGTCTTCTCTTGGACCAGTCCCAGCATATCCAGAAACTTCCAGAATCTGTGACATGCTCAGATAGGACTCATACTGACACTTTTGTGCTTTTAGAGAACAAAACTTCTACTCAAACTTCGCTTTTATAAAGATCATGTTGAGTAATTAGGGAGGCTGTAACATTTGCATGGTTTATATTCCATTTTTCTATTGCAAATGTTTGTATAAATGAATGCATGGATTGATAAAAAAAAATTAACAATAATAAGCCTCTCCTTTGCTGTCTAGAATGTGCTCTATCTCCCCAACCCCTACAAAAAGAACACCTCCACAATATTATATTTCACTCATATACATATCTTTTCCTATTGGGTATATCCTCGCTAGGTATAGATGTTCTTTGCACTAAAATGCTGATAACAGTAGAATCCGAGCTACACTCATGATTCCAAGAGTCTCTCACTAACTATCCAAAAATAAACCTATATCTAGACGAGATGGCTCATGCATGAAATCCTAACACTACCGAGGCTGAGGCGAGAAAACTATCTACAATTTAAGACCAGACTGGACTACTTAGTAAGTCCCAGGCCAGCCATAGAGAAGACTCTGACTCAGAACAATCAAAAACAAAATAATTAATAATAATAATAATAATAACAACAGAGTAAGTACTCCATTGATGTCAGTCCACTTTCCATTCCTAATCAGTATCCCTCCTGTCCCACTGGAACGGGGCCTGAGATTTAACAGCAGTGTTAGCTGGAGGTTTAACTGAAACATCGTGGCTCCGCCCACTTGATCACGGAAAGCATCCCAAATCAAGTACTCACAGCGTAAGCACCTATCAAGAAGGCTGCGTTCGCTCGTTTCCGCTGGTCGAAACAGGTGTAGTGCACTATTTTCTTTCTTGATAAACTGTATGACTAGAAGGGAAGAACAAAGGGCGTTAGCACAGGACAGACAGACGCAGGTCACCGTCTTCTCTCAACCTCAGCATGTGGAGCAGTTCCTACAAGGTGCCTGCCACCTTTCGACTCCTGACTCCAAGCTACCTGGACATGAGTGTGTGGAGCTGAGGGCCCTCCTAGCTCACTTGCCTGGAGGGGAGGGGGAGCTACTCACTTTTCTGCAGTCCACCTGAATGTGAGAACTGACAATTTAACAAACATGGACTTCTCTGAGAAAGGACAGCAGTGCAGTTAGAAATGACTAAATCGTTGATTCTCCGTTCGCGGGAACCGTGCCTGGTCATTTATTCCTGATCTTACACATTGACTCAGCCACTCTTTTTATTCTTGGCATAACGCTCTCCCTGAGATGTTGATGGACCTTTCATATCTGACAGTTTAAGCTATGTCAACCACCCTATTGTCTTCTCTAAAACTTTTCTTTTTAGAGACCAAAATTAAAATTTTCTTTCTAGTATAGACTCAAATCGCTCCCTTTTAATTAGCTAACAGTAAGTGATGAATGGAAAAAAGAGGAACCCTCAAAAGGATATCAATGAACATCATAAATCAACAGCCATATATTAAATTCATGAGCTCAATCATCAAGCAACTGCTGTCTGCCAGGCAATCTGCAACATGCTCAAGTATCTAAGTAAATCCAAAAGAAAGCCAAATGGTTTGCTGAACCCATGCTAAACATGAAAAATAACCATTACATCTGCTGAATTCAATCAAATTATTAGTCACCATTCAAATCTAGAGAACACGGATGTGGCTCAATTAAATGTACACAGTTTCCTTGGGCTGCAAGACTATTATGGGATAGTGACAAATGACAATTTAAATGTAGGCACATAAGCCTACACTTTCAGGGACTGTTCCCATAGTTCCATAAATACAGGCACACAAATGCCATTGAATACTATCTGTAAATTCACATAGAAAACATAAGTAGATTTTTATACCCTACACACTGTGAACACCAGCAACCAAAAATCCACTACCATGTTATTTTCTAAAAGGAAAAGAAAGCAAAATCAAAGAACCAAGGTGCATTATTTTAACTTATTCATGAAGGCTGGTAGCTACACATATCCCAGCTAGAGGTCAAGACATTCATCCCCCGCTTCGGACATGCATAACTACAAATCACATTTTCTGAAAACAGTTATGTCCTTGTGAACTGAACTTTTGAAAGTTAGTGCCTGACTCAATCTGTTATTATCAAGGATCTTTTTTAGTATGAAGCAAAAAGAGAGAAAAGTAGTTGTATTTAATTCAATTCCATCAAGTGTATATACTGAAGTTATTCTAAAGACTTCAGTACTAACTGGATGGTGGTGGTGCATGCCTTTAATCCCAGCTCTCAGGAGGCAGAGACAGGGAGACTCTGTGAGTTCGAGGCCAGCCTGGTCTACAAAGCGAGTTCCAGGACAGCCAGGGCTGCACAGAGAAACCCTGTCTTGAAAAAACAAAAACAAAAAGGTTATTATCGATGCTGTTCATACATGGCTCGTTGCTTTCTCAATTTTGAATTACTGAGTTTCTGGCATTTCTTATTCAATTTTACTGTTTGTTAGTTAATATGTTGTGCCACTTATTGTTCTTCACCAGTAAGTTGAGGGTTTTGTTTGTCTATCTGTCTTGTTTTGTTTGAAGCAAAGTCGCACGATGCAGCCCTGGCTGGCCTAGAACTTGCTATGTATAGCAAGCTGGCCTTGAACTCACAGAGATCCACCTGCCTCTGTCTCTCGATTGCTGTGCTCTCCATCAATAAGTTATGATCGAGGAGGATCTTTAACACCTCCCTGGCCTCTGAGTCTCCATCTCTAAAGACTGCCTTACGCCAGTGAGGCTTTGCACATGGGTCAGACTGAGTAGGAGGACTCAGCAGCTCCCAGCTTCCTGCTCTTGCATGGCATGTGTCCCTAAACTACTGTGAGGGGGAACGATCAACAGCCTATGCTGAAGCCCGGATTCCCTTTCTTGATGCACTTCTCTAGGAAGCATTTTGGTGTCACACCAACACTATGGTTTTGTTGTGTAGATTAAATCTACTGGTCAAGAGTGACAGTTCATACTGCTCTTCTCTCGTTATGAATGTTCATCTCTTGGTGGAGTTGGTGGTGTTTTGGGTTTATTTGTCTGCTTTTGTTCTATCTTCTTTCTTTTAGACAGAGTCTCATGTAAGCTAGAGACTTGTAAGTCTCATGCAAGCTGGCCTTGAACTCACTTTGCAATCAAGGGTGACCTTGAACTCTTGTTCTCCTACCTCTACTTCCCAAGTGCTGGGATCACAGGGGTGCACATCAACCCAGTTGCATGGTTCTGTTGGTTTATTTTGGGTTTGGGGTAAGGCTTTTTTTTTAATTTCTATGTTTCCTTGTTCTCACTCTCTCTCTCTCTCTCAATCTAAACTATATAAACTATGAAGTCCACCTTGAGATGGAACCATGACAAGACTTTCTTGTCATGGTGTCTATAAACGTTTTTAAAGTGAAGATAACACAGGTTCAATTTTCTAAAAAACTTACAGCTTCTTAAATTTTACGAGCTTTCAAAAATTACAACAGATAGTATTCTTCACAAAATCCATCTAGATGTTAACTGTTCTTTTATTTGTCTGGGGGGGGAGTGGGGGGGTGCATCACAGCACACACCGAGGGCGGAGAACAACTTCGCACTGTGCTCTTGCGGCCTTCCACCATATTAAGGCTGGGTCTCTTTTACTGTGTCTGCTGATGTGCTGTGGACTCCAGACTAGCTGGCCACAGTCTTCCTGGCAGTCCTCCTGACTCCACTTCCCATCTCACTATAGGAAAGCGGGGAGACAGACACACAAGCCACCACAGCCAGCTCCTTCCACAGGTTCCAGGAATGACCTCGGGTCATCAACCTTCTGAGGCTAGTGTTTCTTTGTGTGAGCCATCTCCTCAGCCCTAGAAACTTTAACTATTTCCAAATATTTCCCATGGAAAGCTGCCAAAGGAAGCAAACTTTTGTTTGTTGAAGCTAACAGCTGATTTATAGAGGAATTTTTGGAGCATTTGTACTGCTCAGATGTTTGTGGACTTAATTTTCAGAGTTTAGATCTTCAAAGCTCTACAGCTGAGAAATGCTTTCCATGTAGTGAAGCGTGGTCACTATCTCCCAGGTCAGACCACAGTGAAGTCCAGCCACTGTCCCCCCCAGGTCAGAACACAGTGAAGTCCAGCCACTGTCGCCCCCAGGTCAGACCACAGTGAAGTCCAGCCACTGTCCCCCTAGGTCAGACCACAGTGAAGTCCAGCCATTGTCCCCCCCAGGTCAGACCACAGTGAAGTCCAGCCACTGTCCCCCCAGGTCAGACCACAGTGAAGTCCAGCCACTGTCCCCCCAGGTCAGACCACAGTGAAGTCCAGTCACTGTCCCCCCAGGTCAGACCACAGTGAAGTCCAGCCACTGTCCCCCCAGGTCAACCACAGTGAAGTCCAGGCACTGTCCCCCCAGATCAACCACAGTGAAGTCCAGCCACTGTCCCCCTAGGTCAGACCACAGTGGAGTCCAGCCACTGTCCCCCCAGGTCAGACCACAGTGAAGTCCAGCCACTGTCCCCCCCAGGTCAGACCACAGAAAGTGGAATTCTTGCCCACCAAGTCAAAACCAATCCAAGTGGATGACAGCAGATGAGAATCTGGCCAGCTGTAGCCCTGTCTAATGCTCCCCTCACCTCAGCCAGGCTCCCTCCTATAGACACCCTCCCTGTCCCCTAGCGGCACCAATGATAATGTTCACGAGAAGACATCCTAACACTACAGTGAAAAGCACTGGAGATAATAAAACATTTTGTCAGTTATCTGGCTAATATTTTGTGCGAATGGACTGATAAGAAAGAAACCTTTAATGTTTTTCCTTTCGAATATGGAAAAAACACCACCCTTTCAACCAAACACACCCGACCTGTTATGCAATCCCAGCTCCCTAGAAGGAGCACCACCGTCCAGTGGGGACACACCTACGTCTCTCTCAGCACCTTTCATGAAGACGATGGTTCATATGGACAGGGTCAAGGATGCTCTGGGAGACAAACCTCCAAACATAGCACAGGAAGCTTCACCCTGCGTGTGAATGAGCGGCACCAGTCACGGGCTGGGGGCCCAGAGTGCGTTCCCAAGAGGAAAGGAAGCTGGGCGACAGCATTCATCTCTCTGCTTTCTGAACAACCCTTCACACTCTTGACCTCCACCTTGACCTCCCCCGCCATGATGGACCGCGCCCTCAGGCGGCCAGGCTGAACAAACCTTCCTTCCTTAAGTGGCTTCCGTTCAGGATTTTGTCACAGCAACAGGAAAAGTAAATAACAAGATAGAAAAACCTTGTCCCTTTGGGGAGAGACCGAATTTAGGCACCACAGGCGTCTACTTTATAAATGAACCACCAACATTTTCTGAGATTCTGCCTCGAGTCCAGGGGAGAGCCTCTCGGGCCTCTGGCAGGACATCGGCCTCCTCTTCACCCCTGGTCCATCTCCTCTGCAGTCTCCCAGGTAGACCTGGCTCTCCAAAGAGAACATCTGCAAAGTCACGAGCATACATCTGGCTTCCAGGAAGCTAGCCCCATTCTTACTGATTCTTTCATTCCTTCATCTGAGATGCTCGGAGATCACAAAACCACTGTCCAGGGGCAAAGCAGATGTGAACACTGGTCAAACCAAGTCAGTCTTACACACCAAAAGGAAAACGTCTCCGAAGGAATACTAAGGTAAAAGGCCTCTGGCCATCTCACGGCCAAAGCACACGCGACAGCCACTACCCATCTGTATGTTTTAGATTTTCATCTTGAAACTGGCACGTATAGCCTTCTGAACCTTCTCAATCGAAGCAGACAACCGGCCCTAGCAGCAGCAGCAGCAGCAACAACAGCAGCTACTATCTGTAAGCCATTTGCTACATCCCATCATTTCCCACGGCAACAGGAGTGATGCCAGAGGGGTC